ACGACGACGACAGACGACAAGTGATCAGAAAATTCACTTGATCCTTTGGATCAGGTGAGCTAAAAATATAATTCATCTATGAGTACATTTTTTTAAGTTTGCAAGGACCATTTCAAAACTTCTGCGAGTCGAATTTTGTGTTATTTGTGACACTGAAAAGGTGGCTGTACAAAAAGTATGCTTAAAAAGTAAAATTAAATCTTATTTGAAAACACAAATAGTTTTCTATTATGGTTTTCAGAGACAAATTTGAATGGCATATATATGTGTTGGAAACTGCCTTAAACCGTATACATTCTCTTTTGGGTATCTAAAACATATATTTACCAATTTACGTTTCTGCAGAAATTTCTTTACCAGCATTGTTGTCTTCCTCTCAAATGTTTCAGAATCATCATCAAAGCATTCGTATATTAATTCCGTAATGTTTTCAACCGAATCTAATGACAGTGTTGCTGGTTCACCTTTGCTACCCCCTTTAGAACTAAAAATAATGCAAAAAGATTAAAGACAAAAACCTAATCTGCTATAAGAACAAACTAATACATCTTGCAGGTTGATACACGTAGTAACCTTTGTAGCACAGTTTTGATCAATACAGAACACAATATTATATGCATTTAACGAATTTGGCCACATACCTGCTCTCGTAACAGTGAACATTAGTATGTTATATTTATTCAAATGTTGGTTGTTATCAATATTGCTTGTTTTCTTTTTTTTTTCTATTTAAGAGCAATCTCGATAACACGATTGATGCTGCTGAGTTTATTCAATTGCAATGTTGTTTGTCAGTTGCCACTCAGTCCTATATGTCCAAAAAGTAGACATTGTAGTATGAGTAATAAATAATTGCAGTAATTACATTGGTTGCAATGACATATCTGGATTTCTCGGTGAATTAATCCCAAGAACATCATATGTAAAATCAAGCCGATAAGTGCATTCCTCTGATGTCATACAATAAGGGTTGTTATGATGATTTCACATGAAAACAAACGAATTGATAATACATAGAAAAATATAAAGTTTGTCGTGTTTTCTACTTTCTCTTCATAAAAAGTGCATGATGAATTTGATAATTACGCACGATCCCTCGTTTTATCGAAGGATTGGCATCAAACTATCACAAATGTATCATAGAGTAAACCATGCATTCCAATTTATTATTCAATCTTTTCAGAACGGTTCATCTTTAAACAATTGCCGTTTCTAAGATATATAAACATATGACGATCATAATGTTTAGCAAAATGCCTGATTACTAACCACTAACCATTTGCATTCAATTTTGTGCTATTATCATTGGATAAAGAAAAACAAGTGTGCAAAAGAAATATTGATCACTTTACAGAACAAAATCCATATCTAGAAGTATCCAGATATCACGATTAAACGAACCCGATTTAAACAAAGAAGAAAACGCGTTTTTGAAGAAAAAAATACTCATACCTGCAAATGAAAATTGGATATATAAAATGAGATGTGCCACAAATGAAAAGATCAATCCCAACAAAATAGCAACACAAAACAAATATAAAAAAACACAACAAATGTAAAAACGATTTAGTAAACCTAGTAAATCGTTGATAACACGTTGAGAGGAAGTTGGCTGCTCCTCCTGATCCATCAATTATAACAACATGGTTGTTATTTTTCAGTACACTCCAAGCTGTTTCCAATGCATCAAATCCTCCTTCAAATAGTACCAATACAATAGGTAATATTTGTTTTGTCTGGCAATGGACGTTTTTGCGTTTTATGTCATGTTTTGTGATTTTAGGCTCGTCGTTATGTTTTTTGGTCTTGATATCTATGAAATAAAAAGAAACAACAACATCGTTTATGGTTTCTTTCAATTCATTAGTGAATATAATTGTAACCGATAGTTTTAAGTATCATGTTTATCAAATCTATCAAATTTTACTGCACGTTTTTATATGAAAAGAAGATGTGGTATGATTGACAATGAGTCAACTCTCCACAAGATACCAAATGACATAGAAATAAACAGCTATAGGTCACCGTACGGCCTTCAATAATGAGCAAATCCCATACCGCATAGTCAGCTATAAAAAGCCCCGAAATCACAAATGTAAAACAATTCAAACGAGAAAACTAGCGGCCTAATTAACGTATATTCATATCTGTCTATCTCAATTATTTGAGTTTTGCAGAAATCATAAGCTTTTCTCTTACTGTAGAGAGCCATGAACATGAAAGCAACTGATGGTTTTGAATTTACAGGAACAATATATCACATGTCGAAATATCGCCTTCATCACATTCAGTACAATGTACAACACACTGCGTGTGATGCTTTGTTGTGCATTTTGGTAGTGTAACAATGTCCACAAAGGGCAATGTTTTTTTATACTATTACTTCAAATATAATAATCCTAACATCGCTTTTCACTTTCTGACTTTTACTATTAATTCCAGGTGTAATCTAATAATGATGTGAATGGTAATGATATTTGCATGGCAGGGAGTACTTCCCTGTCAACGCACCTGTTCAAACTCCATCAATGTTGTTTATCTGACTCAATGCCTGTCCTTTGTTGATAGGTATTACATGTCAACTTCACAAATAATACACGATGGTCTTGAATTTAAGTTTAGATTCTTGGTACTGACGTTGTTTATCATCTTAATAACGTCTTATCGTATTCTTGTATTTGTTTTTATGGATATGACTTTTACTGTTTAGTCTGTTTTTGGTGATACCCATTTGACGTGGCTCTGTACTTATACATTCCGCTATCGTGTTATTATGTTATGGTAAATGTTTGTATTCTTGTCTTTCATGTTTGCTAATGTGCTTCGTCTATATGCCTTTTTGTGTTTGTTTGTTACATATGACATGCCTCTGTACATATACATTCCGTCATTGTGTTATCGTGCTATGGTAAACTATTGTAATCTTGTCTTCCATTTTTGCTAATGTGCTTTGTCTAAATGCCTTTTTGTGTTTTTTTTTTGTTACATATTTGTTTATTTTTATAGTGATTAGGATAATTACAAAGTGTTGAATGCTTTAACTCTATTTTTGACATTTTTAACTATTATGTCTCTTTGTTTTGATCACACATCGTTGACGATATAATATAATTTTATGCGACTGTTATACAAGTGAGAGGTTTAGCTAGCCATACAACCAGGTTTGATCCACCATTTTCTACATAAGTTAATGCCTGTACCAAGCCAGGAACAAACAATTTATCCATTCGTTTGATGTGTTTTAGCTTTTGATTGTGCCACTACGGACTTTTCCTCGGAGTTTTGTTTTTTATTATTTTACTTTTCATGAAAGGTACAAATGATTTATATATTTTTGAAAGGCAAACTCTTACCTGCATCTGTAATGTTCGATAAGAAATTTTGGAAAGCATTTCAGAAGAGTCACAATCTTTTTGACGTTTTGTGAATGAATCTCCGAGGAAAACAAACTGTGTATGATTTGGATCTAATGTTTCCTTTGTTGAATTGGTAGGAATTCTTTTGCTGCTTCCATCAATTGGGTCTATTACTTTTAAAACCCGTTTGAGGGGTTTAATCTTACAAAAAATAATAATGATAATTCAATTTGGTATAAGTATTCAATGTATATCAGACAAATATTGCTCAAATGTTATTCAAAATTGTCTGATTGTCAAGAAATATATACATTTCATGGCATGCTGATATCGCGTTTTTTTCTATGAAAGGAAAGTTTATACAATTGTTCTTCCATTTCGAACCTGAACTTTTTACTTTTTTCTTAACTGTTCATATTTGCAAATCATCGATCTAGACTCCAGATTTAAGACAATATATCCATTGTATTTCGGATTAACATCATCTCAATGACTGACATCTGTAGCAAAGACGTTGTGTAGAAAAAACATTCCAAATACAATTAAAACATGGACGGACGGCCAATTCTAAATTAAATCAAATAGATTAGATATAACTCAGTATAACTAAATATGAAAATAGTCTACATAAATTTATTAGTTGCATTGCACGCTGTCACCTAATACGATAAATATGGAATTTACCGACAACATATAAGGGTCAAGAGGCGTAATTGATTTCCCATAGGCGATAATGATAACGTTTTTTACTGTAGCTTAGTCCATATCGTAAACTTGGATATGTATAATGACTTGTGTCGAAGCTGAGACATTTTGACATATGGGGTTAAATTTTCGGGATACGAAGTAAGAATCTTTTCCCGTAAATTAGCTTACCCCGAAAATCCTTTCGTGATGCGGCTCCTCGTGTTAAAAAAATCCTTATTTTTACACAATAAGATCTTTGAAAGTTTAATACTTTGAATACATTTAATAGCTCCATCGTTTTTACACATTTATTCTATGGTCCTCTGCTTTCCAAATCAACACAAATGGTTAAGCTCAGTCACTTGTTGAACATGGAAACATGTGCAATATATCTACATAGAGCTTTTTTGTTTACGCACAACTTTTAAATTTCTAAATTAGAGGCGCATTTGGAATATTGACACTAGCACACTGTTTAACGAATTTATCTTACCGATTATCTTAACATTTGGTATTTAGACTAGAGGTCCATCAAAGTGATTAGGTCTTCAGTACTTAGTATTAAGAATCTTCTTCCATTTCAAAATAAAATGCCAACAATAACAACTTGTTAGCTTTATCTGTAATTTATGAACTTATTTCAATCTTTCATCATCAATTGCTTCGTCTGTCGGAACTTTTCAGATCTGTCCTCAACACCAAGTTGTTTTATAAAGTGTCGTAACAACACTATTAAACGTGTATTGAAATAAACCCCGCCCACTAACCTAATACGAAATAGACACGGTCTCCACGCTATTGCTTTTAAGCAATCATATTCCTAGAAATGTTTATGAGGTAAGATAAATAAAAATATTTGCTACTTTAAAAGGCAAAACATTCTTCCAAATTGCAATGTAATTAAAGCAAATAAAGAGCATGCCAAACATGTATGAAATCCCTCATACCTACTGTTTTTTTGAGCTGATATCTTTATATTCTTTTACTTGTATGAATCATTGTTTATATTTTTCTATTTTGTTAAAACATTTAATAAAACAAAAACAATTTACTTCATCTAGTACTCTTTTTGGCAAAATTCCAACTATTGGGATGTAGATTTTTGTCGAAGTAATATGATCATTAACAGCGTCTTCAATAAACTGAATAACTCCAGATTCTATTCCACAAGTAACAATCCATGATCCTACAAAACCAATGTTGAATAAAAAGGTATGTTATTCATTATTATATTATTTTACTTTCTGGAATTGTTTTGTACTTTAAAGACCAATATTATCAGGCAAACGTAAAATTGAGAATGGGAATGGGGAATGTGTCAAAGAGACAACAACCTAAACAAAGAGCAGAAAACAGACACAAGCTACCCATGGGTCTTCAACATAACCAGAATATCCCGCACCCGGAGGCAGGCTTCAGCTGGCTCCTTTATAAAATATGAACTACTTTAATTAAAAAGGGACGTCACACCAAACTCCAAAACATAAGAATGAAGTAAAATTAAGAAAACAACATACAAGACTAACAAAGGCCAAATACTCCTGACTTGGGACATTTTTGCTGAATTTGTATATAGATAAATACAATTATTTTTATTTTTTATAAGTTCTTCTAAACCAGATTTGTTCTCCAAACATCCTTAAACATAAAACTGAGAAGACTTACACATGTTACATTCAGGCTCGTGAAAGAATACGAAAACGACAATCTTCTTGCATACCTTCAATTCGAATACACAGTCTTCATTTCGAAAGATTAATTTGAAAGGCTATAATCAAACAAAGGTTATTTCTCCATTTGGATTTATGTTGACGAGGTAACTGTATTGCATGAAATATATACAGACAAAACTGCGTATCATGCCAGAGTTATGAAAACAACAAAAAATAGAGAAAAGCGGTTTTTATTCTTTTAATATTTTTTACCAGTGAATTTGACAGCCTCAATCAAATCTTTCTTCAAATTGCGCTTGTCTTTTATGTTGAACTGGTGACTTATTCCTGTAACTGCTTTAAATTGCCGCCGGTGGAGGTACATTCCATTGTTCTGGTAAAACTTTTTGTAGAAGATATGTTTGGTCAACAGTGTCAACGGTGTCAGGAATTTCAGTATACTAAAATAGAATTAAAAACGTGTGTATTAATCAATAATAGCGTATGACAACTCTCAACACTGACGTAGTATCTTCTATGACATAAGGAGAATAAAAGCCAAGCAACTGTCACTTTAGGTTTTTCATAAATTTAGGCAATGCTTTTTATTTGTCAATTAAAACGTAAAACATTGCAAACCATTTTTGTTGAAATTAATAAAAAGCAATTCTCTGTAAAAACCAACTATTGAATATAGGTGGTGGAGTTGGCACGCATAGTCATCGGATTTCTTAAAACTAAGCATAACCATATAATCAGCTGAAAAAAATAAGTAAAAACACCCCAAAATCTTATCATATTACTGGTCATTCACGCTGTTCACTGCGTGGCTTTTCAAAACTATTATGTTTCATTACAACGACAAAAGGCGTAATTAAATGGTACAAATGATTATTGAAGCTTAATCATGTCTATTATATATATGCTTATTGACAATTTAAATAATGTCGACATATCTTTACCCTCTTCTCTCGTTGGTCTGTTTTTCAAAAGGTGTACCCCATCTATTATAGTTCTAAAGATCATATCCAAAAAGGTAGATAGGGAGAACATTATCATTTCGGGAAAATAACTAGTATCAAGAGTCAATTTCCAATTTAGTCGTGATAACTTATGGAAATGTAGGATGAACACTTACCTACATAAGGAGTGTTAGCTATGCATGCATGCATGCAAAGCTTTAAGAGCTTGTATTTCATACGCTGTAGGGTTCAAATTGCATTTTTGCATACAAATATAATGATATAAGGGTAACATATCAGGGAAAACCGCAAAATCGAAAATCATTATAGTGGATCGTCGTCACACATCGTTGTCAATTTAATGGAATTTTTGTATGCGCCTTTTATACAAGAAAGATGTTTAGCTAGCTATATACCCAGGTTTAATCCATTTTTTCTACACAAGAAAATGCCTGTACAGTCAGGAATATGACAGTTGTTATCCATTCGTTTGATGTGTTTTATTTTTTTGATTTGCCATTTGATTAGGGACTTTCCTTTTGGAATTTTCCTCGCAGTTCGGTATTTTTTTGTGAATTTACTTTTTTCGTAACAAATACTAAAAATGTGAACCTCTGTTTAATTTTAAATTGTAATGATACAAAAATATACATTATTTTATATGTAAAGATCTTCGATAAAACCTCATGATAGATATAATAGTTGTTAGTCATATATCATGTATTCAAATGCATTTTATTTTTGTTTTTACTCTTTACCTGTAAAGAGTCAAATGTCCTACTCTATCTACTAAAGATTTGACAAAACAACAAAACTGTAGTAGACTGATGACACAAATGGATGAGTTTTACCATATTTACCGTTTCATGCATCGTGTGCTGCCATTTTAGAAATAACGTGTTATTTCATTCTGTTTTCAAGTTAATACCAAACTATTGCATACACGGGGATAGGTTATTTAAGGGCAATGGTTATTTCAAGATGTCGTCTGTAGATAATTTGACCAAGCGCTTACCTTTATTACAAATTTCAAGAGTTTTTCAAATTGCAAAAACTAGTGAAACAAACTTTAAAGACCAACAATTACTACGAGAATTTGTCTGAATGTTCGATTAATAACAGCAGCTAGATCTTGACATTCTGAGCATGGATGTTCTCTATCTATACGGGTATCTACCATTTACATTTGGTTTACATTTTGCCACAGCTTTTATGACTGTTGGGAGGCAGAATGATCGGACCATTTAAAAAAAATTAACTATAAGTTTTTGTTTCGAATGGCCCGGTAATATCAAAGTACTAGACATCTGCAAAAATTTACATATGGCGACGGACAGCAAGAGATTGAAAAGGTGCTTTAGGTACACTAGGGCATGTGAGCTAAAGATGGGCAAAAATCGTCATTTAAGGTCAATATTGCGTCATTTGGTGGAGTTCGTAGTGTTCATTATTTAGTTGTCTATGTTTTGTTTCGTGTAATGTTGCCTGTTTGTCGTTTTCAGTATTTTGACATGGCATTTTCAATTTGTTTTCGACTTATGAGTTTGAATATTTCATTGGAAACTTTTGCCCTTCTTTTAATGCTGTCCAATTGTTTTGATAGCTTTAAAAGAAATAAACACCTACCGATCGTTAAATGTAGGTTTAGCTTTAACTGCTTTCGATTTTGTGTATTAAGCTTAGCAATACTGTTTTGATTTCAGTGGCTTTTTAACTATCTTTAACTGTGCCAGCCATAGGTTTTACCAACAGTAACAAAATAGGGGCCGTTTTCAGAAGATATATACAATGCATTGTTACTGCTAAGGTCAATAACATTTGATGATGTGGTTTTTATGCATTTTCCATAATATGAGAATAGCTACTAAAGAGTTTCATAAAAATACATGTATGTTGTAAACCCACATATAAACCTTGCAAAAACAGCCGTAAGTAAGTATTTCAATTGATTTTAAAGATTTATTAACACTAAATAAACGAACAAAAAAAAAGAAATGTCTTTGATGTTTTAAGTCCAAACATGAGACAGCTATAATGATCATTCACTTAATTACACGTGAGTAAAACATGTCAGAGAATTATTCCCGTCAAGAAATACAAATTCCGTTCATAAAACGATGAAAGATTAACATATTAAGTATCTAATTTACTTGAATATAGTCCTTAGGAACCAAACATTAATGGTTGCTAGGCATTATCCAGATCTTACAAAAGGCTACTAAAGTCTTTGGTGACAATATGTATCTCTAACATTTCATTCTGAATCTCAGTGTTCCCATGCCAGCAATCTAAATCCCATACCTTTTGTTTTAGGTTACTATGAAATAATAGTGACTGATCACGAATTTGTTTACCTTTATGGATAATCTGTGTCAAAATTGTAGTAACCGCAATACCGTTTAAATGTTTGCTCGTTTTTTTTAAATCCTTGATCAGAATCGTTTGAAATGCTTTAGATTAATTTTGTCATTTCAGGGCCTTTTATAGGTGACTATATGGTATGGATTGTGTTTTGTTTTATGAAGTCCGTATGAAACCTATGGTTGTAAACTTCTATGCCTTTTTTTCTCTGGTTGTCTCATTTGCAATCATACCACATCTTCATATTTTCAACTTATATAGATTAAAATCAATACGAATACAATGTACTACAACAACATTGAAATATGTAAATAAAGAAAGCAGTTTTCCTCAGAGTTCTGCTGATTTTTTTTCAATATATGATATACGATATATTTTAGGTCAACAGTTGGACATACTTTGACATTCATATATAGGTCTAGGTTTTGTGTCAATAATTATGTATGAGTTGATGACATAACAGCTAAAAACTAAAATAAAATTACTCACGAGCACTTTCCTCAATTTTGATTTCCTCTGAAGATAAAGGTACTGATTGGGATTGGGAATATATCTGCAAGTGTAAACGATATTGGGATACATTTGTTTTTTTAGAAGTAGTGCTTAGCAGGACCATTGCCTTAAATATGTTGAATGTCGATTTCAGTTTGAGGTTTGACAGTACCTCGTACATACAATAGAAAGAAAATATGTGTTTGACCTTAAACTTGAGCGTGACCGAATGAGTTTACAATATTAAAATATACTGCTGTGCATAACAAGGATAACATTTACTGCGGTGCAAAAAGCACTAGTCGCTTAGTCTTTAGTTTTCTATGTTGAGTTTTGGAATACTGTTGTTTGTCTTTTGGTCGTTTGGCATTAACAGATTTTTTTAATATTGATGGGTTGTATTATTCCTTTGGTTTCTTTCTCTAACTTCTAAAATGATAATAGAAATGTCAAAAGAAATGTTTGCAGTAGATTTGTATATTGCTTGTGCTTGAGAGTGCAATTGGTATTCTTCAAAGGATACCATTGACCAATATTCATGCAATAACATTTTTATTGCATAACAAAGCTTGAACAAAAATATTGTTGTCACCATTGACGTCGATAAAGTGAAAATGTGTGTGTTTATTTATCGAATTGTGTATTTATCAATGTATGTATTCATGTTCTTTATTTTTGTTTAGATTAATTTTAATTATTATTCATTTTATTTATTTATTTATGTACATATTCATTTATTGTTTGATTGATTAATTGATTGATTGATTGGTTGATTGATTTATTAATCATTTATTTAAGAAGTTACTCATCTATTTATTTATTTAGCATACATTCATTTATTTATTTATTCATTTATGTATTTATTTATCTAATTATTCTTTTATCTATTTATTAATTGATTTATTGATTTGTTGATTGATTGGCTGATTTATTAATTCATTTATTTGCCGTTGTCAATGTTCAAGTGTTTTGACGCCCGACATGATATAACCATTCGAAATTTGCACGTGTACGTTTAATAAATGCTATGAATGGCCTGTAACCCGCTATAAAGATACACGGATAAGTAAATAAGTATCTGCATATATTAGATTGATAGTCCAGTGCATGCGATTTCTGTTACTTATTTGAAACATGAACTTACTATCCTAATCATCTACAGTGTTCTATGTGTTATGAAGCGAAACTACATTCTTTGTATTCTTTACGTACGTTTTGTCATTTCGTTTCACTCGAGTTTTGTAGCATTATATAAACATGATAAAGATATGACTAAAAAAGAAAGTCGATTACCAGTAAACTCATCGGTAAGTATGATTTAGATGATGTTCGCTGATAAAGTTCAGCAGCGACATATATCACATTAAATGATTTCTCGAAAAATGAATTTGTACCGATGATTTTTGTTTGCATTATCAACCGCTTAACTCGATCTCATTATTAATACGAGAAAAGTATATGATCCTTTAATATCGCATACCTTAGCTATCACTTGATTTCCTTGACTGTATATGGTGGACGGTATAAGAAATAAGTAACCATGTACGCGAAAGAGAAATGACGCTTAAAACATATAGATAAATCATTTAAAGGGTTTCAAAATGAACGTTAGACGAAGGTGATCACTTATACTACACCTCTCCGTAGACAAACGGATGACTACTTGATTCAACAATTGGGAAGTCATGATACTATATGGTTGCAATGACAAAATTCATGGTAAAGGTATTCTATCTAGCCCTGACTGTAGCTCAGTGAAGGTGATGAACATTTTAAATTCTACTCTTCGACCTAGACGCAGTCATGGTCATCGTCATTATACATCACATACTTTCCATGATGTCTCTATTAATGACTTGCATCCATTTATACAAAAGCCGTTAGGTATTTATCGCATTCGCACAAAGCTTCATTTATTATCCCGTTCAAAACATGTAATCTCTGTACAACTTTTATATGTTAAGAATTGGATCTTCCTTCACTATATTGGATACCTAAACGACATACATGTCTACAGTTGGCAATAACCAGATGTGTACTTAAAAACTCCAAAGATCTTTTAGAGTACATGCAATCTTAGATTCTTTCATCTTGCAACTGTATTAAAACATTTGACTTTTCTTCACTTATATTACAAGTATTCCCCATATAAAACTAAAAGACAAATTGGAAAAGTTTGTCATGCTTTGTTTCATCAAAAAGAATAAACATCGTAAATACAACTAGCTTGTCTTAGGAAGAAATAAATCGTACTCTGATTCCAATAAAAAATTATCTGAAACGAACATTATCAAGATGCTTAATTTATTGATTGACAACGTATTTGTTACGTTTGGAGGACGTGTTTCTCAACAAACAATCGAAATTCCCATGGGAACCAATTATGCTGCACTGCCTACCAACTTGTTCCTTTATTTACATGAGGTTGACTTCATACATTAACTTCTTCGAAAGACAGGAAATAAGTTAGCAGTATCCTTTAATTTAACTTTCCGCTATATCGATAATTTCCTCTCACTGAAGAATTCAAAACTTTCTGAATATGTTGAACACATCAATCCCACCGAACTTGCGATAATGAAAATGAGGGTCTGTTGTGAACAAAACTTTAAGACAACAGAGATGTTTTTAGCTTCCCAATTGTGAAATTTCGATTTCTATGTAGCAACATTCCAGCAGCGCCTGTAGAAGCAGTAGATATATCCAGTTAATACGATATTAAAGGACATGGAATTCCAAATACGCTTTCGTTGATAGAAAGTTACTGCTTACAAGGTAGCTACTACACCAAGTGTAAAACTCAACTAAGTGGTGAAGTTGAATTCATCGTTTCGTAAATTTTACGGACGTCATCATGAGTTGGTGGACCGTTATGAAATATCTGCTTAACAGATGACGAAGGATATATTCCAATAGTCGTAACTACGATCCCGTCTCCTTGTCCTCAAATGTGACCTACCGATTTAGATTATTCACTGAGTATGTACTTACATGAGCATTATGACGGGTGCCACTTGTGAATCAGGATCTGCTTACCCATCCGGAGCACCTGAGATTACCTATAGTTTTTGGTGGGATTCATTTTGCTAAGTCTTTAAGTTTTTGTTTTGTGTTTTGTGTACTGTTGTTTATCTGTTTGTCTTTTTTTTTTTCTTTTTTAGCCATGGCGTTGTCAGTTTATTTTCGACTTATAAGTTCGAATGTCCTTTTTGTATCTTTGGCCTCTCTTTTAGAACAGGTTCCACGTATCAACCCATACCTTCAATATGAATAGAAATTTAACAAATGCTCAATTACACTGGTTTTCTGTATAAATTCAATTTTTTTTTTTTATGTTTTATCATAAGAACAAATAATATGAACATTACTTGTTTTTCTGTTCTTCCATTGGTTGGCTTTGAAAAGAGAATAAATTTGATATTCTGTTTCTGTCTGTTTTTTTTTTCTTTTTTTTTTTTTTGCTTGATTGTCTTCAACGTTGTTTCTCCATTTCCTGATCTACAATAAAAGAACATAATGAAAATTACATTATATTTTCATTAATCTATCATGGAAGAACAATTTGGTCCTTCTTATTGTAAATAGCACATACTATCTCCTAATTACGATACTGACACACAGATGTTATGCTCATTTATTTTATCATTAGTTTTATTATTATTATTACTTAAAGTCTTCTATTTTTTATTGTTTGTTTATATATCATAAACAAGTTTAACTTTCATTTTTCTTGTATTTGTTGATATAAAATGTAGAAATAAATGTGTTTACTATGCAGATTATACTTTTGTTCTAGACACCTGCAATTATGACTATATGTTCCTGTTTCTTCAAGATGGTTTCGATTTTAAAGTCTACACAAGAAATCATGCCAAAATTCTTCAAAAAAGAAATGCACCTGCCATTTAATATACATTAAATTTCATCTAAGATTGTCAACTACAATGAAGCATTTGATATCTTCAAGACGTAATGACGAAACCTCCAGATAACACCTTTCCGTGTTCCCATGCATAAATTGTACAGATTTTCGTTATATAACAAGGTATCTTGGCATTTTATAAAATGAACAACTTAGACTGGTATTTGCCACAGTCTTGAAGAAATATGTCAGATTATTGATGAATGCCATAAGGTTCTTCTCAATACGTCATTTGGTGAAAGTTGTCTGATTAGAATTCATACCACATCTTCTTATTTCCTTATAAGTTAAGAACATGTTTCCTCGTATAGTTCAAGGAGATAAACATATAATAATCATTGCCATGAAATTCAAAAGCAAATGTTTGTACTTATTTTGTTTTTGTGTAGTGGTCAGTAGATTACACCTACAAGTGAACATAAACGATAATAAATTGTTTATCCTTTCTATCTTTCGTATGCTTTGAGTTAAATGTTTCGTCATGACGAAGTATGTTTGAATGAATTCATCAATCAAATTAGCTTCCAAATTCAACGTCTAGTTAACAAGTTTAACCGTTCAAAATTCGTGATACTCAAAATTAAGTTTTCAAAGAGGTAGGGCCATTTTCCCTTAATTTTTTTTTCCATTTGATTAGATAGGTAAATCATGTTTTTAAATAGCCCGATAGATGCTAATTATAGTACATGAAATTACGTCACATCATCTATTTTCATACCTTGAACATGTATTCCTACAAAAAGCAAGGCCAATACTATTGATTTTTTGGTTTATCAAAACCAATGTTGATTTTGTTTGTTAACGCCCCTGGGGAGCATCAAAATATGAATTATCAACTAATAGATATTGAAAATTGGTTTTGTATTAAAAAAAACATGTTGCTTCAGTTAGCGTGTTAATGTTGGTAGGTGATTTGTAGCGTACATGTATTTTATAGCTTTGTTTAACTTAAAACTAAAAAAAAAATTAATAAAAATAACTTTAAATAAGAAAAAACGGGGGTTGAATATCAATACAAACACATTTAATAATCTATTTATTTTATATAAATCATATATATAATCTGATTCAGATGTCTCTGTTCCAATATCAAGAAGCCAATTAATATCGGACGCAATAACTTGGATGTTAATTTTCTCAATCTGAATGTATCTATATATCTCTGTTCCGGTTTTAGAGTTTAACCGTCGATAAGAACGGGACAACATCTTTCACCAGTTGGTACTAGAACACTTTGTATTACAAACACATGTAATCTGACCTTTTCTGGCATTGTAGCAAATGGACCCTTTGTAGTGATACAGATGCAATATTTTCTTGATGTTTTACCTGCAGTCACGATTGGTAGTGTAATTGATTTTTTCTATGGTGTTGTTTTATTTTCCGATGACTTAGGTACCGGTGCAGGGACGGTGGTTACAATGTCAGGTCTAATATCTACATAGTTTATTGATTGGCGAAAAAATTGATGTCTGCATTTGTTGCATATAAAACCATTTTAAAAAATGTTCTAGTTCAAGGTTAAAAAAAAAGTTTTTGTTTTGTTTTCGAACGAAATTTTTCGTTATATGTATATTACACACACAACTTTTTGGCTTCAATGGTATATACTCAATTTTCGTGTTATTGGTTATGTGCAAGCACCTACTTCAGTTTGACGGCAACTGTTCCTTGCATATATATAATAAATGTAAACACAGGAATAGGAAGTAAGTCAAGAGAATGAATAGTAATAGGAACTCACGCAATAAGCAACACATTATTTGTATTCTTTAATTAAATGATATATAGTCAAAATGATCAAAAATGACTCTATGAATTAAACAAACATCCGAAAAAAATATGATAGGAACATAACAATTTAATTTTGCAAAACAAAAAATGCAAAAATCTACGTGAGATTTGAACAAATGTTTTATTACGCAGCTATATAGGTACAATTTAGTGATTGTCCACGTTTTATTTAAAAAGTCGTTTTTTTAGGTATCAAGGGCACACTAAACCAATTTCATTTTTGGGGTAAAAAGTTGTATGATTTACAACAACAGCAAAAAACATAACTTTGTTTTGGTTTGAAATGTCGTTCTTGGGGAATTCCTTGTTTTCAAACCCCAAAACATGGTAAATTGATCATATTTGACTTTTTTTTTGGGGGGAGGGGGTGTTTTCTTAACTAATTTGCGAACTTATTGTAATATATAAAAATCGAGATATTGATAAAAAAAAACATGTTTATCTCTTATTTTTATCGTAAATTTTATTCTTTCAGCACTTTCTGAAATTGGTCCTTCTGTGAAAAAAAACAGGGGAAATTGGCCCTTCCTCTTTAAATTCAATTTGGAATATGAAACCACTTAGAATTAATTTACACAAACAATTAATTCATGCAAAAACAAGAAAGATAAGAAGCCATTACTCTTAAACAGCATGGCTTTTATTTGCGACAAAAGAATTGAACATGGAACGATATAGTGTATGACAAATGGACATTGTTCTCATACATATGCTGCTTATAGTATAAATGTATATGATCGAAACGACTGGACTCCTCAATTTAATGTACTGCTATTGCTTGTCTCGAAATATCAAAATCATTACTTAGTAATCATATTATACTAAACAAGCATATCCCTTAAATCAAGTATAAATGTTTTAGATTTTGAGTGGTTGTTTCAGGGGTTGGGTCGACAATTAACCCTGTTAAATTGCAAGAAAATGTACCTTATTCCAATGATTAAAAGCTTACATGCCTATATCCTTGCTAGTAAACTAAATCTCTATATATTCGTAGATTTGTTTTTAGTTTTGATTGTTTTAACTTCTTGTCATTATGAGGTCCGAATTTTAAAGTTATACATGCAATGGTTTTTGTTTGAATTATGTGGGTTAAACATAATTATACATTTGAAAAATATGAATTTCCGATTTAAATATTAATTGGTTATTTTTTTTTTTTATAAAGAACGGGATTTGATTAGCCACTTCTGGTATACTCTGAGATACTTTCGTCTTCACATAATAGCTTACCAAAGATTCTAAACATTTGTAGCTTCTATATACTTTTGCTTGAAATAAGGACGCTTGGATGTCACTTGTGAATGGCAATCCAGAAAATACGTCACATCATCTATTTTCATACCTTGTTTTGTCCCAGTATAGGAAGGATTTAACTGCCGGTCCGAAAAATACCTGAATGACCATGTTTCTATTTCTCCAACCTTCTCTGTGGGCATTTTTCTACTATTGTGAATACTGTTAAGATTTGTATATACATTTGACTCTGCTGATGAATCCAGGTAACATAAAATCATTTGAAAATTTTACGTCAGTTCCAAAAGATACGTTACTTATGACTGATTCATATAACTCTAGGTAAGTTTAAATGGTATTCGAGCAAACAATTGTACCCCGGTTCACAATTGGTCATTTACGGTTGACCTTTTTAAAACGGTCATATTTCTTCAACTTATGCAAAATACCCCATGACTTTTTCATCTACCACTATGAAGATAGAGGAGCAAATTAACAGTCAAAATCTAAATTTAACTTCGACTTTGACATTGATTTCAATGTTAAATGACTATATAGCTTGAACCTCAATTTAAACATTTTGGTCTTTCTATATAGATGATATATGGTTAATGAGTTATCTAACCAAAGAGTTAATTGTATCATAAGAGGGAAACCTACTATTAAATGACACTTTCAGCCAAAATTTATATACTACGATATGTCTCATCTAACAATTTAGTAAATACATTGAATCAATTTCTTATACGGTAGTTTGAGAGTAGCAATAATAATCAAAAGGAAAGACTTTGTATGTGGCCTCGATCTCTTTTTATGCGTATTATATATGGACCAAGAAACGGAAATCGAAAGTCATGTATGGTTCATCTGCAACACATGCATATCACTTATCTGAAATACATAATGGGAATAACTCTCATTTGGATCGATTTGGTCATAAGCTGTTTTTTTTTTGTGTTAACTGTTCAATAGAAATGTAAAGAAATGTATTATAAAGAAAACATTGAAGCTAATGCCTTCGATTGTCAAAGTGAAGCGACAGCTACATGTTGATAAATGTGTAAAAGTTAATCTATGAAAACAAACCGTATTGACAAGAAAATGTTTAAACTCCTGTTTTATATTCCTTTAGATCAAAATATTTCAATTATGTTATATAATTTTTATTGGAAAACTATGTTGAAAGATAATTATTGCAAAGGTAGTATTATTCGCCAATCGATTGAATCATAGCAACACAAGTTTAAATAAGAAGGTTGATACTCGTACAATGGTGAAAATATTGATAAAGTTCTGTAGTCCTGTTTAAATATTCTCTGAACTTACGCTGTGCTATGGAAACGATTACAAAATAAACACAGAACTTTAAGAACCATTTCAAGCTTTATCGAATCAAGTTATAAAGAAGGCATTTAATCATGTTAATGATAAACATATTACTTGTATTATTAATTGTCATTTTGTCAGCGCAGCGATATAGCTGTCATGCGCTTAACTCAATTAATTGATCATTTTGTCAAATCTGGAAAGAAGCTCTTTCTTGTAGCTTTTTATTATTATAAAAAAAAAGGATATAAAAGTAAAGTCGTTCGATGCATTTACTTTCAATTAAGTTATTTATCAACTGATGATCTTCAAAAACGCAAAACACATTTTTGTGATTGTTTGTGAATGTTAGAATCATATTAAATACATGAAAAGTAAACACTGTTGAAATAAATTCCGTAATGCAATCAGAGTAAATGTTTTTAAAGTGTTTGACCCTTTATAATATTGATAAATGGACTGAGACAAGGTTAAAAAAGGGATGAAAATAAAAAAAAAAAAACAGAACAAAAAAGAATTTTAGTTCAAGTTACAGTATATTGGCTGGGTCACAAATTTTGATGAAATTTTGCATACAACTTTGTCTTGATGAACTATATGAACTATAGCTAAAATTAAATTAATTATCTGAAATTTCACTGATTAAATTCTTTCAAAATTGGTCAATATTTGTATAGAATGCACATAAAATCAGCAAGAAACGTTCTTAAATATGTCTAAAAATCATCAAATCTCCAAATTTAATTTCAGTGCCACTAATAGCTGATGTAGATGGATTTCACGTCTGGCGTGATAACTTATATGTCTATATTTTGATGATTATTTCCTACCGGTGGATTGATGCTTCTTTTGTTGGAATTTTGGACTCCAAAAATTATAACAGCTCAGACGTCAGACTTTTGTGATCAACTGTTGTGTCATTATCATGTTCATTTTCTGTAAATGTACTGTATGGCATATCAAATTTTTTGGAAAACTATTCGTTAATCTAACTGCAGGTAAAGATTGTGTAAATCATATGTTGCACATTTTTTTTTTTTTAATTTCTATTGCTTTTCAATTTCATGTTAATTAAGCTTCCCAAAGATTTCGATATTTTGCCCACTTACGATTCTTGTGTCAACGAAGCATCAGTCTGACAAAACCAAAGTATATGATTGGTACCTTTGGTGAGCTGTTTTACGTATTTTTTTTTAAATTGCCGAAATTATTTTCGTCAAATTTCAAATACAAGTTATACGAAAGAAATGTATTTGTAAACGGATAATTTGTTTATTAAAACTCATGATATTTGAATACCTAATCAAACTCTTTTCTTGTGTAGACATATGGAAATGAAAACAAGGCAATATTCTAAAATCTTAATCAAATATATATGTTTATTTTTTTAGACCATTCGATAGGGAATTCTTTAAAACTAGTATAATAGGAAATACAGAGATGTATGATTACCAATAAGACAACTGTCCAACAGAGTTATATAGATGCTGATTTAAAAAAACTATCGTTCACGGTACATTATTCAACTGTGAGCAAATCTCAATTATCAGGCTCGACATGATACCATATGAATCAATTCCATCCAAAAACACTATGGGCATGATTTATGCTAAAATAATAAGCAAGAAACAAATATGAATAAATGTAACAAAGAACAACAAATGAATAAAAGGCTCATGTCTTTAGACATAAAACGAATAGATAGGCACGATGATGGACACATGATCTGAAACATCAAAAAAATCATTATGTAAGACAGTTTAAATTGTTAATAAATAAGAATGTTTACATGGCGATTTTTGTGAACGGGATTTGACTTTCAATTTGATTGCAAGTTCAGGCACAAACAAATTTGAAATTATGACACATTTGAATAAAGAACGATTATTTACCCATGAAGTCTTTAAAATCAAAAAATTTTATCAACAACACATGTCAAATTTTACAAACATTTATCTACTATTATGCCTTATAGCAAATTTATAATAATATAAATTCGATGCCTAAAAACTTCTGACAAGATTTGATGTAAAGAATTTAAAATAATAATAAAAGGGTAATAGCCATCCTTCAAAATAGAAAATACAACAATTGAACGGACGACGAACGAATGAAACGAGTGCGCATCACGTGTTTATTCTATAGCGGCGTTCGGTGTCCATTAGTCTTATTTTTTATATAAAAACAGCAATTAGTTATACTTTATATTATAAAGAAGCATACTAGCCAAACTCTTTTCTTTGTTACCGGCTGTAGTTGGACTGACATTGTGAATTGCTGATATCACCAAACTATGCCTTTAAAAAGATATGTATTGCAGATGTTGCAAACATAAGTACAGTTGTTAAAACGACAAATCAACACTTCGATGAGATTGATTCAGATTGAAGTTGTTTTCAATGAACCAAGACAATCAATTGTAAATTGCTGACATAATATGAGTTAGGAAAAAAAGACCATATATATTCATCAGAGTTATACAATATTTTTTGTTTAATATATGTAATCGAATTTTTATAATAATTCTGCATTTATATACAATTATCATTTCAACAATCGTAAAATACATAATATAAGACAACAATTTGAAACAAAGTCAATTATAAAAGTCGTACATGAATCAAGAAACACGTCTCTGCGAAACAATATTTAATCACCGTATTTAGATATTCATAGGTTTTTTCTGTTAAATGTCTAATAATTAGAATACATTGTGCAATAAAAGAAAAATTGTGAAGTGAAATCATTGTAAAATGCAGTTATCAAATTACTTCCATTATACAAGACCGTTTAAAGTGCCCATATGTAAAAATAAACACATCATAGATACATTGTGATATGAAAGAATGATTTTTAAAGATGTCATTTGAAACTGATTAAATAGCATTTAATTTGAGAATGTTGACAAACCAATCTTTGTTAGGATTTTAAAGTTAGGTCCAAGTATCAAATTTGATATTTTAACACATTTTGAATGCATTGGGTTACTCGTTCATCATTAAGGTCTTTAAAGTACATCAAACTTAATCATAGTGTAAAAAGCAACACTAGCAAATTGTTATCATTTAACAAACGAAACTTACTGCAAATGTATAATATACAATTATGACCCCGTAGTAAACTTCATTTCCCGAAGGGCGCAGCCCGAAGTGAAATAGATTATAGGGTTGGAATATTTATCGCTTCTAACATAATTTCCAAGGGACCACACATATTTTATTATACCGAATTAACAGTGGAGGGGCCTTTTGAACTATTGAAAAGGCACTTACAAGGTTATATGTAGTAAGGCTTCAGTAACAGCTTGGCAAAACACATCAGTTACTATTCTTTATAAACAATGGATCTAAGGGACCATGACTGTTTGATGATGCATAAAAAACAGTGGCAGGGCCTTTAGACCCATAGAAGAAGAACTTAGTAGTAACAGTTTATCAAACCACTAACGTTAAAACATTATTTTGTGGATTTATTGTAATTACAACAAAGGGAGAATCTTTCTATAAAATAGCTATGGCGCTGAAACGGACCGTTATGAAATATCCTCAGCATAAGATGAATTTGCAAGTCTTGTTTCTTCGTAACTCGAGGAATTATAACGTGGTCGTTGCTATTTTGTTTAAATACATCTGTGACGTATCGTTTTGATAAGAAATAACGTGTGAACATATCAAGAAGCTCAACAGGTTATTCACAGGTGAATGATAGAGTTGTTCATGACTTGGCGTTATGCATGTGATAATGTGTTTACCAATAGAATTGATTATCTTACACGGAAGGTCATGAAGGTATAATCATAATATGTATTATCGGCCTTAAACATCTTTAACGTCTATATACAAAATATCACACAGTATAATAACTAATCGCCGGGTGTCACATGTGGAGCCAGATCTGCTTTCCCTTCCGGAGCACCTTATATCACCCCCAGTTTTAGGTTATGTACTGTTGTTTGTCTATTGGTTGTTTACTTTTTTAGCTATGTCGTTGACAGTTGGTTTTTTTTTCGACAGTTTTTTTTCTCAATGTCCTTTTGGTATTTTTCGCCTCTCTATTGAAAGTAATCATGTCATTAATGTACATGCTCTGTCAAACATTGTTATGTTTTCAACTATTAAAAGACAATATAACTCCAAATTTTGAAGCAAAGGTTGTTTAAATAAGTGAATACTTAAAAAACTATACAACTAACACGGTCCTACAAAGGATACCCACTATCATGTATACTTATATAAACATAAGGAGATAAATAAAGGCAACAGTAGTATACCCTGTTCAGATGTCATAAATCGATTGAGAGAAAACAAATCCGGGTTTCAAACTACAACCGGGGGAAACATATCAACAACAATGAGAAAACAACGGAAGAACACAAAAACTGAAATCCCACAAACACAAATGCCAATGCAACATACATAGAAACGAATTATTTGATAACATCTGCCATATTCCTGACTTGTTATAGGACATATTAAAAAATATGATTGCCAATGCCACAAATATCAACCAAAGTTCACACAAAGTGCATGAACGCAATTATAGGTGTTCGTACAGACTTCAACTATGAGAAAACCCCATATCGTATGCTAGGCTTTAAAAGGCGTGATGGAGTTAAAACCTAAATTTCGTATCCACTGTTATTTCAATTGGTTTCTGGCGTGCAAGCGTTTTTTCTCGTTCTATCGAAGCGGCATTAGCGTTCACATTCGGATAGGAATGCAAACATAGCAAAGTTGAGGTTTATATCAAAGAATTTGTATAATCATTTTTTTTATAAAAACAAAATTAAATATTGCATACAATAAACCGAGTTTTCTAACTATATCAAAAACTCACCTAAATCAAGATGCATGTCACTACAAACAAGAAAATGTAATATCAACGTTTCTTGATATTGAATTTATTTAAATTTCCGCAACATGAAATATGAGAAATTGTATTGTCATGAAAGCATTTTAATTGATATTTTTGATCCTATACATAACACGCAATCAATTGTTTATATTGTTTATATTGTGCAAATTGATTTGTCAGCAGTTTGTTTAACGTTTGCTTTTTTTTTTGTAATTATTCTTTTGTAATTTGAAAGAACCTGTTTTTGTAAAGAAAACGTTCGAAAGGATACTTGACGAGGACTTCAACACGTTTAATATAGTTAATTTTATATAATGGAAATAAAGATAACCGACGTATACAAGGCAATCAGTTACAAGACATTTTGGTGAATAATATTTAAATAATTATATTATATTTATCTTTTAATCAAATGAAACCGTGTATAATGTATTTTATGTAAAAACTAACACACACGCATAATAGAGACAAGACTCACCCAGCAACTATCCAAACTATACAAATTAACGACTCTGCTTTTATATAAGAATGTTTATGCAGAATAGTTGCATAGATACAAGAAGATGTAACATGAGTGTCAATGGAACAACTCTCTATCCAAGTCACAATTTGTAAAAGTTGACTATTATAGTACAAGGTACGACCTTCAACACGGAGCCTTGGCTCACACCGAACAGTCTTGCTAATCAATTGGTTATGTGTATTCTGTCTGTGAGTTTAGAATTATCGGTTCAGTAGTCAGTACTAATATAATTTATAAGAAATTATCTAAAATTGCCCGTTCATAAAATTTGGAAATTATACAGAAAATAAGGTTTCAACTTCCTTAGGCACAGTTTGCTTTAGATAAATTTTGCTATTTTTAGGTCCGTTTTGGTTTAAAGCTTTTTTCGGTTTTCGGTCCTTATACATCCTTGGCTTTCAAATGTGCGGCTTTGATCGTTCCTGGTGAAGGTACATCCAGAAAAGCTCTTCGGACGCATGCAATTTATAACGTGTTGTTTTCATTTTTTACAGCACTGAGTTGATACCTCTGCTGGTCATTAGCTTAGTAGTCATTACTTCGGTACTGGCATGATTTATTACAAATTATCTAAAATTGCCCTTTCATAAATTTTGAAATTATACAGACACAAATGTTACAACTCCCGCAGGCAAAGTTTGCCTTAGATGGATATTGCTTTTTTTATGTCCTTGTAGGTTTATAGCTCTTTAACATTTTCGGTCCTTATACATTCTTGGCTTTCAAATATTCGTCTTTGAGCGATGCTGATGAAGTTTAAACTGGAGCTTAGGACGCATGACATTTATAACGTGTTGTTTTCATTTTTTAAAAGTACTTGATAGTACATACTGTATGTAGTATACATTTTCACTTTTTAGTAGGTACACTGTACATTTTTAGTGTTCTGAAGTGAAAATGAAATTATGTTCTCATGCAATCCTCAATCCTGTTTTATCAAGTAAGCTTTCGATAATTTTATCAAACGAATATCTCAATTTGCTTGCAAGGTTTATAAATTTAAAATCGGTTAAAAAAAACTGCTCGATTTATTCAATACAGTGTCACAACAAACAAAACATAACCAAGAATGAAGGAAAACATTTGAAATGTTATAAACCAACTCAAACATTAGAAATGCAAGATGCAGTGACTGAGTATACATACATTATATCAAGCTGGTCAGGCCACAAATGTCACCAATCGGGCGAGATAGAAATACACTTGAACCAAATTCGATCAGATAATGAAACACTTTAACCAAAGGAGATCTGATAATGCGAGACTTTAACTAAATAAATCGAGATATAAATAGTTGAATTGTTATTGATAATTCCATGGGACTTTGTGCTAAATAAGCTTCAATGTTACTCTTTTCTAGAACCCCAGAATGCAGAACAAAGTGGAATGTTATTAAGGAATTTTTAAGCAATTGTTTACCTTAACACTAATAGACGGGCGATCAAGTGCCTTAAATACCTTCCTGTACCAATTATAAAAAAAAATATTTTCTTTGTGTGGTCCTTTGAAATATTGTATTATAGATATCATGAAAATTGTTTAAACCTCTTTATAAACGAAATATGCAAATTCAAAAGCCCAAATACACCAAATAGAAACATAGAAACTGAAAAACGCAACTTTAAAATTCTGATAAATGCAGTCCAGGACCATGCCTGATAATGGATTTCTTGAAAGACCAGATTGATGTTAGCATCTGTCGTAATTCAGTTATTCATCAACTTGATTGTCGAAAAACTGAATGCGATTGATATTTTATTTGAGTCATAAGAATGGTGCTATTTGTTGATCAGGATATGCCTTACCATCCTGGATCAACCTCACACATACCCCTGTGTCTGTTGGGATTTGTATAGTTTTGAGTTTTGTTGTATAATGTTTTTATTATGTTATATAGTGGTATTCACTGTTCTTAATACGGGTGTTCCTTCAACACAAATGAATGACAATGAATCAACTATACAAATGAGAGATATCTCACGTTTTGTCTGATTATAGATGTTGTTAAAAACTTGATTTTCCTTTGACTGTCTTAGTTCAAGTTCATCAATGAGCAACAACAATGAACCGTACTACTGTTTAAAAGTTTGGTTTTCCTTCGACTGTTTGAGTTCAAGTTAGTAAATGAGCACATAGTAGTATTACATGTTTAGATTTTGAGAATAACTGAAAATTTACTGTCTGGGTTGTCTGTAAATAAAAAAAGCACTTATTATATGCAATGCATCTGAAGAACTGATTGGATTAATCAGTAATGTTCCGATCTACACAGTCGAAAGCCTAGGAGGTGCAAAAATGTAGAAAGATTAGAAGTGCTATGTCCAAAAACGGCGTATTTACTTGTTTGGCTAGGAGATCTTTGGTCGATATCAATGACACTATAATTGAGTAACAATCAATAAAAAATAACCTAAATAGATTTTAAATAATGAGAATATGTGTCATTGAGAATGGGAATGGGAACTATTTCATAAAAAACAACTCGACCAAAGAGCAGATAACTGTTGAAGACCACCAATGGATCTTCAACGCAGCAAGAAAATTCCGCACCCAGGGATGGTCATCAGCTGGCCTCTAAATAAAAAGGTGTACTAGTTCAGAAAAAAATGGATGTCATACTAAACTCCAAAACATATAAATGAGCTAAAATTACAAAATAAAAAAAACATACATGACTAACAAAGGCTGGGGATCCTGAATTGGGACAAGTGTTTAATATGTTTGGGAGATCTTAACCTTCGCCCTATACCTCTAGCAAATATAGAATAAAGAAACGCACAGCAATACGCACAGTAAAACTAAGTTTTAAAGGAGTCCTAGTCCGATGTCCGAATAGGTAACAATAGAAACTAAGCAAAATGACAATGTCACATGCTAGTAAATTAAAAAAGGACTATTAGCAGTTACATCATGCCAGCTCCAGACCTCAGTTAAACAGATTGAAATAGTGTGTCTTCATGATATGAAAATCCAGAACAATCCCTCCCGTTAGGGCTTTAGTATCATACTATCATAAAATATATGAGAAGCGCATAACTCGTATATGGCAACAACTGGTTTTAGAATACAAAGATGCAAAGACCCAATGAGTGAATCAATATTAATACCAAAATTTGCCATCCTTAATGACCAAACTACAGCAGCGTAACTATATCCTCCTGAATAAGTCTGTTAAAAGGTTTGGTTAGCTATTGAGGTGAAAGCCGACATCTTTGTGCTTTGCAAAGAATATTACCATAGAAGATTGGATGTGAAATACCTGCACGTATAAGATGTCTGCATGATGATTTATACTTACGAATTCTATCCTTGTACTATGATAAAATTTAGTAAATGTTTTGATTAGTTTGTGATATCGAAAACCCTGATGTAATATTTTTTTAGTAATACAGACATTTCTTTGGTAAAAACAAATACGTTTGTATGTACTTTCAAAAATCCAGCTTCGAATTTGAAAGAATTGCCTATGTTACCTTGGTCCAAGGCTTGGGGAACGCACATGAACAAAAAAGCTCCGACAAGTGTTTTTAAGATTAATGCTTTTTAGACATAATTTAAGCATCAGAAAACTTCATTTTATGAGTAAACATTGTTGACATTTTCATAGCTCATCATGCGATAATTGTTTTACCTCGAATACTTAGAAATTACCATTTGATTTTTAATGACGTGTTCATTTTTTTCAGGGATATAAATAAAGAACACCTACCCAGCATGACATCAAGGATTTACGAGAGGAAACGCATCAAATGAGAGAATCATTGATTCAGGAGATACGATATTTAGATTACAGACAACCAGTTGTAGCATTAAATAATCCAAGGCGATAATATGGCATTAAAAGATGCTTTAATAGAGTTTGAATAACACAACGTCGGCTTTTACTAATCATATTATTGCAACTAGATACTGTTTTGAACTGTGATCACGTTTGAGGTTATATAAACCTTTTTGACAATTAATCTGAAATTAAACAGTAAAAGTAATAGTGTATCACGTTAAAAACACATGTATTCACACATAAGTTTTATTTACCGTAGAGTAGTAGATCATTTATTGAGTTTGGTGTGTTTGTTTGTTTCATTGCTAAGTTGGTATTGTATTATTATGTGTTGTAAAAGATCAAGATTTAGTTTTGACACGAGTTTTGGTTGCTTTAAAATGTGTTGACATTACTCAATTTTCAAAAAGTTTCCTTCGGGGTCACGGTCACATACATATGTTGTATACATATTTTGAAACTGATTGAAGGTAACACTCAATGTATTTTGAATTCATATATTATGTACATCAAAATAGCATGATTCGCGTATGCGTTAAAACAGTTTTCGTTCTTCGTGAATCTTGAATAATCTGTAAAAATAAAAACTTAATCAATATGTTTTATCTACTAACTAATAAGTATGTCTCTTTATAATAAAGTGTTTAAAATTTATAGTAAAGTTTTGTCATTCATTTAGAAAAAAGCAGATTGCGAGCGTTTGTTAAATACAGTTAGGT